GCACAAATGTCTGATTGAAAATTAGAATGGTGTAAGTTGATGCTATCAGTGTCTCTGATACACATAAAAAATTTAGAAAACCTCTTTACAATCTCTTTAACAAGAACCACAGACGTCTGATTGAAAATTAGAATGATGTAAATTGATGCTATCAGTGTCTCTGATACACATACAAAATTTAGAAAACCTCTTTACAATCTCTTTAACAAGAACCACAGACGTCTGATTGAAAATTAGAATGATGTAAATTGATGCTATCAGTGTCTCTGATACACATACAAAATTTAGAAAACCTCTTTACAATCTCTTTAACAGGAACCACAGACGTCTGATTGAAAATTAGAATGGTGTAAATTGATGCTATCAGTGTCTCTGATACACATACAAAATTTAGAAAACCTCTTTACAATCACTTCAATACAGAAAGTTGTGAATTTTTTTAAAAACTTACGGCAGTCTTCGGGTTCATCCATGCCATCTTTACAATCTTTATCTCCATCACATTTCCATAGTAACGGAACACATCGATCATCAGTAGGACCACAACGGAACTGAGAACTACTACAATTAGCGATACACGTCTTGTTGTCCGGGGTCATAACAAAAAAATCAGGACATTTACAAGCGTAGTTGTCTCCCCCTGCCCCTATTAAGCAGACATGTGAACAGCCGCCATTGTTTTTACCACATGGACTTCCTCTTGAGCCTGTAAAATAAAAATATGTACTTGAGCAAGGTATGGGTGATAAGGTGCCATGGGTTCGAATCTTCTCCAAGGTAATGTATAGAAAGGTTGCTATTGCAGTCAAGGTATAAGTATGAAGTTTGTAATAGATTGACATTGTGAAGATTAAGAAAGGTGACTATTGCAGTCAAGGTATAAGATGAAGTCTGTAATAGCTTGACATTGTGAAGATGAAGTTTGTAATAGCTTGACATTGTGAAGATGAAGTTTGTAATAGCTTGATATTGTGAAGATGAAGTTTGTAATAGCTTGACATTGTGAAGATGTAGTTTGTAATAGCTTGACATTGTGAAGATGTAGTTTGTAATAGCTTGACATTGTGAAGATGTAGTTTGTAATAGCTTGACATTGTGAAGATGTAGTTGGTAATAGCTTGACATTGTGAAGATGTAGTTTGTAATAACTTGACATTGTGAAGATGAAGTTTGTAATAGCTTGACATTGTGAAGATGTAGTTTGTAATAGCTTGATATTGTGAAGATGAAGTTTGTAATAGCTTGACATTGTGAAGATGTAGTTTGTAATAGCTAGACATTGTGAAGATGTAGTTTGTAATAGCTTGACATTGTGAAGATGTAGTTTGTAATAGCTTGACATTGTGAAGATGTAGTTGGTAATAGCTTGACATTGTGAAGATGAAGTTTGTAATAGCTTGACATTGTGAAGATGTGATACAAGAAAGGTGACTATTGTAGTCAAGGTATAAGAAACAGTAATAGCTTGACTGTGAAGATGTGATACATACCAACTTTTTGTCTGAGAGGATGGTAAACATGAATATCCATCGGTCTATGAGTTATATTCCGTAAAATCGTATGATTGGCTCCGGTATATTTATTGGCCTTCTCAATCGAAAGATGATTCCAGTCTGTCCAGTACATCCAGTCCTCGAACACCGTAATCGCGAAGGGATGAGGAACACCTTGTAATACTGTGTGTCTTCCACTTCCATCAATGTTGATATATCTACAAATAAAATACAAATTAATGGTTAGTCAAGGGACCTTCAGTTTAGTTACCAAGTGTATCTCACTGAGCCACCGCGGCTCCATGTCACATCTGAACAACTAGACGCTTTTTCCAAATCAGCCCCTCTTACCTACATTACTGACAGGAAACTGGGTTGAAAAATCTCAACCTATGCTGGGATCGAACCCTGGACCTTCAGGTTAGCGGGCAAGCATCTAACTCACTGACAGGGGGAAACCAGGTTGAAAAATCTGAAGGTATTATCTCAACCTATGTCAGGATTGAACTCTGGATTAGATTAACGAGGAAGCGTCTAACTCACTGAGCCACCGTGGCTCCCTGATCAATAAGCATAAACCACACATCTTATTTCCGTATAAAATTCTACGTACTCAATAATATCTAAATGTGCATCCGCCCACCAGAGTCTTCCCGTGTCGTAATCTATCGTCAAGGCGTTAGGCCAGCCCATCTTATTGGTGACGAAATCAACTGTAGCGTTGGATCCATCCATTCCTACACGACCAATGGAAGATTTTACACCCCAATCTGTCCAATAGATATACCTAAAATATAATAAGGAACAAGTTTTAAAATATATTGAGGGTAAGTAAGGTGAGCACTATAATCTTCAAAAGTCTCTTGAAGTGTACAATGAGGGAAACTTGCCTACTCTTATTGAATTTTCGACTATCCAAGGATCTTTAAGCAAAAGTAAAACGAACCTACAAGCAATAGCAGACGATACACATTAGAAAGTAGAAATACTCACCCGTGTACAGGATCAACAACTATAGCTCTAGGTCGTCTCATCTGAGATTTTAATAAAGTACATCTATTAGTTCCGTTTAATTCTGCTACATTCAGTGAGGATTTTCTACCATCAACCCAATACAACTTCCTAAAATACAGAAAATATTCTTAAAGAGATTATAAAGAAATTAAATGAAATGAATGGAGTTTTACATCCTACTTTTCTGCACCATGTGGGCTAATGAAGACAGGCAACACCATGCAGTGTACAATAAGGGAAATTTTGCCAAGATAGCAGCATAAGCCTACTCTTTTTTTCGATTTCCAACTGTCGAGGGATCTTTAACGTGTAGTACACAGGGCCTCGGTTTATTGTCCCATCTGAACCACTAGACGCATTTCAGGGACACTGATAGCATCAATTTGCACCATTTGCATCAGAGGTCTATGGTTCCTGCAATTCCTGTAAAACTAAGCATTTTATGACTTCAGAGCTGCAAAGTAGTAGGTAAGAGCATTGGAATATATACGTAACGTCAATTGCTGGGTTATGTCCAAAAAATGATGGTCGTGTGTTCTTATCTCTGTCAGTGTGTGANAGTCTGGTGACAGTGATTAACAGAAATTTGCCATATATTTATTGACTTCACGAAAAATATACAATTTCATTTGATTCGCAACTCGTCGTGATGAATTTTAATTTTGGCTAATCATAGAAAATGTTGGAGCGCAA